GGGGGGGGGGGGGGTCCCAGGACAGTGCCACCTGAAGAATCAGGGCTGGGATGTGGGCAGCACGGGCAGAATGATCAGGGTTGGGATGGGAGTCATGCCTCCTCTTTATCTCATTCACTGGCTAGAAACACTACACTGTACAGTTACCCTAAATGAGACACTTTCCTAGGACCTAGGGACATAGCAGTGACCAAGAAAGTCTTGTTCCCCCCCTTTCAGAGTGGAAGTGACAAGTATTCATTAAACTCATAATCACACATGCTCACTATATATACTGTATATATGTCTGTATAGGTGGGTAGAAAAAACAGTCTGTGGTCAGCACCATGACGAAGTTCAGGCAGCCAGGAGATAGCCTGGCTGTGGCTAGACGCTTCCTACCTGGCTTCAATCCTACCCTGCCACTTACCAGCTGTGTGACCTTAGGCCAGTGACTCTACTTCTCCAGACCTCAGTCTTGCCATCTGTCAAATGGTGGGAATCTAGCACCTCCCTTACAGGACTGAAGGATTTCAAGAGCTGACACCAGTAAAAGGGTTGGCACACATAAGTGCTCCCAGGTGGGACTTAACCCTCCCACCCCCCCAAGAAAAATAAGGTGGGGGAAGGGTGCCTGGTCTGGGGCTGAGGGAATCTTCCTGAGGAAGTGATACCTGAGCCAAGATGGAGAAGTTAAGGAGCAATCTTTAGCAGAGTGCTGCAGGGGTGGGGGCAGGTACCACACTCCAGGGACCTGAAAGGCCAGTACAGCTAGCAGGCAGAAAGCGTGAGGAAGAACAGCCTGGGCTAAGGAGAGGTGAGCTGTGGAGAGGAAGAGTGTAGTCCCTGCCCTGTGAGCAGGTGGGGGTGGGAGGAAGAACAGCAGGCTCTTGCAAAGGTCCAGTAAGGGGACAGTGGTTTGTGAGAGTTCATCCCTAGTGAGAAATGGAGGGACACAACATTCATGTGGACAGGTCATGAGGTCTGAGTTGTCAGTCTCTCCCTGGAGAAAGGTTTAGTCGGTACTCAACAGTGAAGGGGGTGGGGAGTTGGGACGATGACCAGGATTGATACGTGATTGATGGGGGTGACCCTGATGAAGGGTCTCTGTGCAGGAGGCCCTCAGAATTCCAGCCCAAACCTATGGGCAGTGGCACAGAGGGAGAAGCTGAGACACTCTTCAAATGGTGACAGAGCCAGGCTGCAACCCAGGGCCCCAACTTTGGCTAGTGGCTGAAATCTCACTGTCTGAGGAGCAGGGCCTGGCCACAGAGGCCAGCCCGCACTCCACCAGCAGGCACCACATACGCCCGGCCATCGTTGGCCCGTGAGGGTGAGAAGTCTGTCAGCTGCAGGTTGCTATCCCGGACTTGATCATAGTCCCACAGCTGGTAGTGCCAACTCTTGCCCTGCTTGGAGAGGAGGTAGACAGCTCCTGGGATGCCCTCCTCTGGCAGGGATGGTGGCTGGCAGGGCATGCCAGGCACTGGGTAGAACAGCCCTGGCAGCTCAGGATCCTCACTGTAGCCAAGGCTTGGCAAATCCTGCACGCCCAGGAGCACCCCTAGGGGAAAGGAGGATGTGAGCAGCAGTTGACTGAGCCCTGACTAGGTGCTGGGCACACTGAATTCCACGCCCTCCCAGCCCTCCGGGGTAGGTGCTACCTCCATCCCCATGTTACAGAGAAGTTACTGGGGGCCAGAATGCACACAGCTGGGCTGAGATTTGGACCCAGGACATCTGGCTCCAGAGCTGTAGGCGTTTTGAGTCCTGCCTCTTATGGCCTGTCAGCACAGGGGAGGTGAAGAGGTGGCACCATCACCCGGTCATCTCTAGCTGTCCAGGGAAGAGACGCTGGGAGAGAAGCCCTCAAGGCCAGACTGCCATGAAGATGCCAAGTGGACCCTTGTTCCAGGCCTCTTGATGTGTGCAAATCCAGCCATCCTTCAGGTAGATGGGATGATGATGGCAATGCTGATAACACTTGTTGAGACATGTAATATGCCAAGCACTGTTCTGAGAGTTTTATGCACTCTGCCTACAAAGCAGCCTTATGAGGAGGGTACTACTTTTGCACCCAATTTCCAGATGGGGAAAAGGAGGCCCAGAGAGGTGAAGGAACTTGCTCAGTCATAGAGCCTGGAAGCGGCTAGGCCTGGCCTGGAGCCCAGACTGTTTGATCCTAAAGTCTGTGCTCTGAGCTTCTGTTTGTGGATACCCCAACTGGCAGACACCCAAGGAACCTGCTGCCTGCCAGGTCCTGTGCTGCGTACCCTGAGGGACAGGGATGGCTCAGCTCTGGTGTCTGTCTCAAGAGGGCATGGCCTGGCTAAGGAGGCACCAGCACAAGGGTGAGAATGTGAGGAGGGTTGATGGGGCCAGGGAGACCCAGGGAGAGGGGTGCAGGGGCAAAAAAGGAGGGACCCACCTGCGCTCACTGCCCAGTGAGCCTTGTGGCCCTTCCTCTGACATGGCTCGTGGTTGAAGTCCTCATCATAGCTGGTGCTGATGTTAAGACCAAAACTGTGGCCTGGCCCCGGGACCCACCCTTTGCCATTCCTGCCCTACTCCCTCCCAGGCTCTGAGATACGGGATGAGCAGGGGCTGTCCGCTGACAAGGTGCTGCAGGACGAGGTCTCTGTTGGGACCACCCAGGCCACCGCAGAGCAGTTCGGCCTGGCAGCCCAGCACCTCCTGGGCCAGCCTGCCCATGTCAGCCACTGCAGGGTAAGAGCACACACAGAGAGGGGGGCTGACCATGTGCTTGGCGCCATGCCAAAGGCTTGATGGGGATTGACACCCCCAACCTTCGTGGTGACTATCAACCCCTTGGTACAATGTAGAAAATAAGGCACAAAGAGGGTCAGATACTTGTCCATAGCCACCGTGAGGAGGAGGCAGAGCTGGGCTTGGAAGCCAGGCAGCCTGGCTCAAGTCCATCTGGTAACGACTCTGCTCTACTGGGCAGGGAGAATGGAATAAAACCCCCTCATACATCTGGCACTGCCCCACCCAGCCTCTCTGGTCCCCTCCTAGTGAAGAACCAGTGGAGCACCCAGCTTGAGACCCTTCTCCACCCAACTCACCAGAGAACATCTCTCCTTGGGCCGTGTAGCCTCGCTCCGTGGCCACCTGCACAAGTCTCTCCAGGGGGATGCCACTGGGGGGTGACAGGAGAGTGCCTGCCATCCACAAGGCCACCAGCCCGCACCTGGGGAGAGATAGGCCCAGCCATCCAACGTCTAAAGCATATCTTTACCGGACCCCTCTACCCTGAAAGCTGGAATGGGGATATAGGTTTGCTGTCCTGGGGGAGTTCACCTCACCCGTCAAAGGCCAGGTGGGAAGACCTGACTCCCCTTCACAGGGGAGGACAGCCAAGGCCTGAGCCCAGGGCTGGCAGGCTGGGAGTGGGAGGGTGGGGAAAGAGGTCACCTGGGCTTCCTGGGAGTAGGTGCTGAAGTGGAGTTAGAGACATGGACCAGGTTCATTTATTCACTCACTGGAGTTCATTACACATGCACCCAGGATCCTGATATGGGAAGTTGTTCTTCCTTTCCCTCCCTCACTCCTCCTCCTCCTCCTGCCCAGGCTGCCTGGGATGAACTCGTTCCCCCTGCCCTCCCAGCTCTGTCCTCACGAAGCCCAGCAAGGGCAGAGTGAGTGCTCAGAGAGCAAAGGTGGCCAAGGGGTCAGGACTGCACATTAGGACACGTACTGAGGGCCTTCTTGGATGAGGGACGGCAGGTCAGCACAGAAGAGGATCCACTGCAAGTCACTTCGGAACCTGAACCAGAGTCACACTCAGGTCACAAGGAAACCAGCTCCAAGAGTCCGCCCTTGAGGTCTGGCTGGGAATGGAGTGTCCAGAAGTGGTGAAGGGAACACAGGCCTGGCCGTCCGTCCTACGGCCCAAGGGCTGCTCCTGGCTCAGTCCTGACTCCCTCCTGATGAGGCACTTCCCCTCCCAGAGCCTCAGTTTCCCCATCTAGTCAGTGGGAATTATCCCTCTGTCTGCCTGTTCCCTGCTCTTTCTCTCAGTTATTGAAGAGCAGATGTGCAAACTTTGCAACTAGAAGCCAGAGAGATCTATATATTAGAGGAAATTTCTTGAAGGGGTGTCTATACCCAAACTCTTTCTGTGATTTCTTTCCCCTCAAGTCTGTTCCTTGGGCTGTTAAACAGGTTGAAAATGTCCTACTTAACTCAGCCTTGAATAAAACCAGACAACATGCTTAAGGCCTAAGAAATCACCTTGATAATGAATCTTTGCAGACCCTACCTGCCCCACCCTGGGGGAGCCCACTCTGTTTTGGTGATCCCCATCCCCCAGGGCTCAGGACAATGTGCTTATTATTCCCATTCCCAGGCCAATGAGAGGGCAAGGCTGGGAGGGTGGCAGAGCTCCTGGTTCCCAGTCTGGGGCATCCTCCTGATGAAAAGAGATGATACCACAGCATGGTGTTAAAAGCATGGAACCCCACTGCCAGAGTTCAGATTGGACTCTCATCTTCTTTTTTTTTTTTTTTTTTTAAAAAGATGACCGGTAAGGGGATCTTAATCCTTGACTTGGTGTTGTCAGCGCCACACTCTCCCGAGTGAGCCACAGGCCGGCCCAGGGATTGGACTCTCATCTTCTTTTTTTTTTTTTTTTAAAAAGATGACCGGTAAGGGGATCTTAATCCTTGACTTGGTGTTGTCAGCGCCACACTCTCCCGAGTGAGCCACAGGCCGGCCCAGGGATTGGACTCTCATCTTCTTTTTTTTTTTTTTTTAAAAAGATGACCGGTAAGGGGATCTTAATCCTTGACTTGGTGTTGTCAGCGCCACACTCTCCCGAGTGAGCCACAGGCCGGCCCAGGGATTGGACTCTCATCTTCTTTTTTTTTTTTTTTTAAAAAGATGACCGGTAAGGGGATCTTAATCCTTGACTTGGTGTTGTCAGCACCACGCTCACCCAGTGAGCTAACCGGCCATCCCTATATGGGATCCGAACCCGTGGCCTTGGTGTTATCAGCACCACACTCTCCCGAGTGAGCCACAGGCCGGCCCATGGATTGGACTCTCATCTTCTTTGCACTGTGACTTCACCTCTATGAGCCTCAATTTTCTCATCTGGAAAATGAGCCAATAATATTCCTTCCTCTTGGAGAAGCTGAGAGTATTAAATAAATTAATACTTAAAAATACTTCAAACATTGCCTGACATATGCTGAGCATGCAATAACACATGTTATTTGCATTGAATTTGCCTCAAGGGGGCTGGGCATTTAGAGCAGATTACACAAGTGTCCAGAGAGCTTGGAGTTACTTCATGAGTCTGGGCAAATCACTTTCCCTCCTCCTCTCAGCCAAGCATCCGTTAAACTGGGTCCCCACAGCCCCAGCCCAGTTCTAGCCCCCCTCCCACCTTCCCTCCCTGCAGGGCTCCCTGGACTCCAGTCTGATGATCTCCACTCCCCAGGGGTAGCCTCCCACCTTGGTTCTTGCTCACCTTCCCAGCCCCAACTTTGCCACTTCTGTCACGTTAAAGAACTGTTTGCAGTTTCTTGAAAAGAATATGTCCTCATTTCACTCTGGGCCTCTGCACAAGCTGTTTACTCTCATCACGTATGCCCTGCACAACTTGCTCAACAGCACTCAGGGCTCCCCTTCTCCAGGAAGACCCCATAACCCCCCAGCCTGGATCACACACCCGCTCCGGGCTCTGTCATGTCAGCCCTGACCACTCTGGGCTGTCACCGTTTGGTGGGGTGGAGGGTCTGCCTCCCCCACTGGACTAGGCATTTATGAAGGCAGCTTTCTTCATTGCTGGAAGCACACCGCCGCTGAAGGGGTCTAGACAGGAAACTGAGGTAGTAAGGCTGGTTAGCCGTGAAGAAATGGGAAAACAAGAGAAAAATGGCTTAAGTGATCTGGGGAAATGGAGACCCTACCGGTCCTTGTGCAGCTTCAGGAGCCTCTTCACATCTTCTCTGCCCTTAGGGACTGGGCTGGCTTTCTCCAAGGCCTCCTTCAGGAGCCGGCTTTTCTCCAGGCCGAAGACGTGAGGAGGAGCAGCACCCATGGCAGGGGGTGGAAGAGGCAATGGGGGCGGTGGAGGAATAGGGGCCTGCAGACTCGAGGGAGCTGGTGGAAAAGCTAAGTTCCGAGGAAGAGATGGAATTATGGGTGCAGGGGTTCTTGGAGGAGGGATTGGGGGGTCTGGGGGATGGCAGCATGGAGAAGTCATTTTGGGGTCTACAGGCAGGTTGAAGGGTTCAGAATGGGAGAGGTAAAGGGTTGTTCTCAGGGACAGAAATTTTAAAGGTTTTGGAGCGGAGTTCCAGGATTTGGGGGTTGAGCAGTGGGTCTGAAAAAACCAGGGCTAAAATTTTGAAACCATGGGAGCAGGGACTGGGGCTGACTCAAGTCATAAAGGATCTGGAGTTTAACAGGGTGGGGTCCTTATATCTGGAATCGGGTTTGTGTATGAGGCTGGGGCGGGCTGTGTTGTGCTGGGAGGCTCAGGGAGGGCGTTGTTCACTAATTCTCCCGGGCAGGATTTAGAAACTCGTGGGTCAGTTTTAGTATATGAAGGCTCAGGCCTGTAGCAAGGTTCCTAAAGGGTGAGACTTAAGGACCCAGGGCTAAAGACTGAGGAAACTTAGGCTACCCCTCACATCACCTTGAGCTGACCTTTGAGTCAGAGGTCAAGTCTAAAAGGACACCTGGCAGGGAAAGTGGCCTAGTTGTGGAGAAGGTCCTGGAATCAGAGAGCAACAGGAAACGTCTGTGGTTTGGAGAAGGCGTAGAGATCGGAGGCCAAAGGGAGCCGCGATACCGCGCCGATAGAAAAAGCAGTCGGGAAACAAAACTCGCCTTCCTCTCCCGCAAAATGGCGGCCGGGCACAGCACTTCTCCCATATCACGTGACAGAACGCAAGCTGTGCCCGCCCCTTTAGCAATCACGTGACAAGAACGCAAGGAGAAGGGGGAAGAAGTGGGGCTTCCAAATGACCCCTTCCGGAAGAGGCCGCAGCGCAAGCCGCGTCCCAATTGGCACAAAACTCGTTATCTTCACTGATTGGCCCGTAGGGCCGGGCGTGGGTAAAGGTGGAGTGCTTGCAGGGGGCGTTTTCTGCCTCGGCGGGAACCCAGTGTCATTTTGATTGGCAATATCTGAGCTCACGGACAAGACTTACTCTGATTGGTCAAACTACTCAGTTTCCGCGAGAGGATTGGCTTGAAGAAAGGAAAAGGCGGGGCCCGGAGAGGAAGCTTTGTGGTCCGGCCTCAGGAACGTAGCAGGCTCGGCTTGCGAGAGCTGCATCCCTGCCGGTAGGTATCCTTGGGCGCAGGTAGCCATCGGCCCCGAGAGGGCGGAGTGTTTGGTGTCCGGGCCTTCCCGCGCTTCGGTTTCGGAAACTTCCTTGCTGCGCGAGGCCAGGCGGCCCGAAACGCGCCCATCCTTTCTTAACTGGCTCTACATCCGAGTTTTTCTCCCGGCTGCCCTTTGGGCTCGTGGGCCAATGGGAATCGCCATTCAGGATGCTCGGCCTACTGGGTCTCGTAGAGCATCCTGGGACTCGTAGTAAAACTCTGGAGGTTCCCTCACCACGCGGGCAGGAGGAGCGGCATCTTGCGCGCACTTCGTTGCTGAAGCTGTGCTTGCCTCTCCCACTCACTCCGGTCTTACCTGACTTCCTCTTGGAAGGGAGATCCCTGAGCAGCCCGTCAAGCCAGCGTTGGGACAGAGGGTTTGGTGAAACCCAGGGCTAAAGTTACCTTTTTCCTTTTTTAAGCCTACCTCAGCACTCCGCTCCATGGCAGTTCCCGAGACCCGCCCCAACCACACTATTTATATCAACAACCTCAATGAGAAGATCAAGAAGGATGGTGAGTTCTCGGGATAGTCCGGACTCCAGGCGATCCTGCGCGAGCTGGCCCCAGCATCCTCTTTTTCTCAGCCTTTTCCTTCAGCCAGACTGAAGAGTTAACCCCTTGGCTTTTGCACATGCTGCTGCTTCTGTGTTCACACTGCTTAAGTTTCTCTTATTTTCTGCCTTTTAACCTGGTCACTGTTGCGCACCCTTCAAGGTTTCCCCTCACAGGACCTCTCCTCCAGGAGGCCTTCCCCATCGCCTCTCCCCTCGGGTGGCTGCCCCAGACTTTCCCTAGGCCCTGGGAATCCCCCATCAATTCCTGATGTCTTTGGACTGTCATGAGGCTCTCTCACCAGTGGCCTGTGAGGGCAGGGACTGGAGCTTTCTTGGTCACTGGTGTTCTCAGTGATCAGCCCACGATGAAAATGTACGATAATAACTATGGCTAATATTGTGTACCAGGGGCTGATCTGTGCACTTTTGTGTAAATCTTGATTACATTTAATTCTCACAACAAGCCTGTAGAAAGAAGCTGTTGTTATTCCCTTTTCTTAGATTAGGAAACTGAGACTCAAGGGCGATGTGATTTGTCCAAGGTCATGTGGCACGGAAAGTGATTGAGGCCACTAGTCTGGAATTCAGCTTTCTTTTCTTTTCTTTTCCCTTCCCATCTTTCCTTCCTTCCCTCTTCTCTCTTTCCTTTACTTTCTTTCTCCAGCTGGCCGGTTCAGAGGTTGAATCATGGACCTTGGTGTTAGCACCACGCTCTAACCAACTGGGCTGACCAGCCAGCCCTGGGCAAAATTATAATACTTTCTTTGCATGGATATTGTAAGGCTTAAATGAGCTAAGCCTCCAAGCAGTGCTTTTTATGGTACCTGAAAGTTAGTAAGGGCTATGCAAGTGTTAGCTCTTATTTCATTTCAAGAAGATTGTCAGGAGAACCAAAGGAGTTTTTCGACATTGAGTTAGAGGTTACCAGTAAAGTTGCTGTTGAAAACAAAACCAGGGATGTAAATTCTGTGTATGCTTTTAGAGTGTGGTGCCCAGCCAGTGCTGGGCAGTGCTAGGGACACACTGGTGACTGAGAGTTCTGTTCCTATTCCACCAGATGGTGACAGGCCAGAGTAGTTAGGGCCCTGATGGGGGAAGCACAGGCAAAATGGTCAGGGCTGGGATTGGGAGCCTAGAAAGAAGGAGGGATTCATTCAGAATCATAGAAAAGGAGACATTTTGGAAAAGCCTTCAAGGTAGAGGAAGCAGTATTTATGTTACAGTGAGGGGTCCTAACTTGGGCCAGCTTGTGCAAATGTTTAGGGCAAAGGAGCCCAGGGCATTCTGGGAACTACAAATAGTTCTGTGTGCCTGAGACCTAGAGGCCTATGAATTATGGAGAAACTTCCAATGAGCAGTGTCCTGATGGCTACACAGGGTGAGCCATTGGACTTTGTCCTGATGAACAATGAGCCAGGCTGCTCCCTTGTGTCCCTTGTGGAAGATCTTTCCAGGTGTGGAGGGTAAACTTGAGGGGGCAAGAAGGGAGGCTGGAGAGTGGGGAGAGGCCCAAAGTCCAATGGCATAACTGAGGTCTGAACTAGGTTCCTGAGGATGGATCATGGAGAGGAAAACCAGAAATGTCATCACGAGGAGAATTTTTGGCTAATTGCTTGAAAACACCTTTAAACCTTGTCTTCACCCCCAACACACAAACATTTTCTCCTTTATTCTTTGAGTCTCTTTTTCACTGAGCAGCTGTGTCTTGGCTATCTTTGCGTGCAATATTGGAACCCTATTTCATGCCTGGGTGGTGAAAGGGGCCTTTCTTTGTTTAGCTTGAATCCTGCTTGTCAAGTGAGATGGTTTTGCTGGTGAGCTGGGGAGGTGTATTGGGTTCTAATGGGCTTGGGTTGTGGTCCTGGCTCTGCCACATCCTTCCCAGGGCCCTCAGGATACTCTCTGTGGGCTAGTGACAAATCCTCTGAGAGCCTGTTTCCATCTTAGTAAAATTGGGACATACTTGCCATCTCATGGGGTTGTTGTGAGGACTTAGTGTAGTTATTTCCATGAAGCACTTAATAGTATCCTTTATTCATAACTGTTGGTGGAGATGTTTGTGTGCTGGAGTCTGCTCTAGGAATGGGAATATTTCAGAAAACAAATTGGATGGGCTTATAACTCTTCAGAAGGAGAGACAGATACAAATAAATGTCAGGAGATGGAAAATGCCTAGAAGGAAAAGCAAGTATGGTAAGGAGAGGGGGAGAGTGACATAAGGGGCATTTAAATACGGTAGTCAGAGAGGCCCTCTCTGAGGTGGCAGCATTTCTGCTGAGATCTGGGTGACCAGGAGGCAGCCATGTTAAACATTAGGAGAAGGATGTTAAGGTAGAGAGAGCAGCCAGTACAAAGGCCCTGAGGCAGAACCAGTGTATGTGGCCCAAGAAAGGGCTTGAGAGGTCAGTGTAGCTAGAGACAAAGGGAGCGAAGTGGAGTGTGGGCAGAAGACGGGGTTGGAGAAGTCTTTTAGGGTCACATCACACAGGCCTGTGTCAAAGTGCTGGTGGAAATGGAAAGAGGCACTCATGTTTATTGAACATTTACCATGTGCCAGGTGCTGTTCTGAGACCTTTGCACGTATGTACTCATGTTCCTTAAACAGCAACTCTGTGGGATAGGTACTGTTCCTGTCTACATCTCATAGGAGAGGGTGCTCAACCACTTGAGGGGTTCTCGGCTGTTGCTGTTATTGTTGGGTCTTGAGAGATTACTGACCTGTGGCATTTTGAGTACTCTGTCAATTGGCTAAGGGCCTCCCATCTGAGCTGCGTTTCCTTTAAAAAAGAGAGCTCAAGCCCCAGGATGTGTTGCCAAGGCCTCTGGTCACCCGTGGATCTTCCCTCCCCCACTGCAGAGCTGAAGAAGTCCCTGTATGCCATCTTCTCCCAGTTTGGACAGATCCTGGATATCCTGGTATCACGGAGCCTGAAGATGAGGGGCCAGGCCTTTGTCATTTTCAAGGAGGTCAGCAGCGCCACCAATGCCCTGCGCTCCATGCAGGGTTTCCCCTTCTATGACAAGCCCATGGTGAGCATTGTGGGTGTGTGTGTGTGGGGGGGAGAGAGAGAGAGAGAGAGAGAGAGAGAGAGAGAGAGAGAGAGAGTGTGTGTGTGTGTGTGGAGATTGTGTGTGTGTGTGTGTGGAGATTGTGTGTGTGCGCGCACATGCGTGCAAAATGCTATAGGAGACTGGATGGGCCTGGACCTTCTGTCACCTGTAATCCAGTTCCCTAAGGATGGGAGCAGGTTTCTCTTGCTGTTCCTTAGCATTCACAGTTCTGCGTACTGGGGGTGTGGGGACACACAGTACCAAAGGTGTCCCCAGCCCTGCCCTTTTGGACCCACAGTCCTGTGGGGGAGACATGCTTGTCTTCAGGTGATGACAACTCACAGGGATCAGGGTTGGGTGGGGGAAGGACAGAGTGGTCAGGGCAGGGATGGGGGACATGCACAGAACTGGGGAAGTTTAGGGGAGGCACCTTACCCAGTCTAGGGGTTCAGGCAGAGCTTTTTGGATGAGGTGAGACTTGAAGGAGGAGAAGAGTTAGCTGTGGGAAGAGAGGGAGAGTGTTTAGGCAGAGGGACAGTGTGGACTAAGGCCCAGAGATAACCAAGAGCTTTTTTTTTTTTTTGTCTTTTTGTCTTTTTGTCTTTTTGTCTTTTTCCGTGTCCGGCAACGGATCGCAGAGGCTGTGGGCTGGTAGGAAGGATGAATTGCAGATACTTAAGAAGCCAAGTAGACTGCCCAGGGGACTGCAGTCAGTAGGAGGTGAAGAGTGGCTTAAAGTCCTTGCCCTGAACTAGAATTCCTGACATATCACTGGCAGGCATCTTTTGTTCTTTATTTGGGCCTTTTCTCTCACTACCCCAGTTTTTTTTGTCTTTTTGTCTTTTTGTCTTTTTGTCTTTTTCCGTGTCCGGCAACGGATCGCAGAGGCTGTGGGCTGGTAGGAAGGATGAATTGCAGATACTTAAGAAGCCAAGTAGACTGCCCAGGGGACTGCAGTCAGTAGGAGGTGAAGAGTGGCTTAAAGTCCTTGCCCTGAACTAGAATTCCTGACATATCACTGGCAGGCATCTTTTGTTCTTTATTTGGGCCTTTTCTCTCACTACCCCAGTCAATTTTTTTTTTTTTTTTTTTTGTCTTTTGTCTTTTTCCGTGTCCGGCAACGGATCGCAACCCTCAGTGTTGCCCCCGTACCGGACCGGGGACCGGCAACGGGATCGCAACCCTCGGTGTTGCTTCCCGCGCCTCGCTCAGCCAGTGAGCGGGAACCGGTCCGTATGTGGGATCCGAACCCTTGGGCGGGAGCGCCGCCATGCTTCTCAAGCGGCGCACTATCCAGTGCGCCACCGGGCCGGCCCCTACCCCAGTCAATTTTTGAGTTTCACCTAATTTGAATGTGCCTCCTTGAACCAACTCCCTTGGGGAGGTGACAGTAAGTCTCAGTGTGTGCAGGTCCCAGGCAGGTCACCTCCATATGAAGGCAGATCATGTGGAAGGCAGTGGGCCCCAGGGACAGCTGAGCCTCCTGTCACCTCCCTCTGGTCTGGAGAAGAAGGAACCTTTTGTCACCTCTGAGTATGCGAGCTCAGAGTTGCCGCATCTTGCAATTGCCTTTCTCGAGCATCTAGGAATTAGCTTTAGGGGTATAAAAATCATAAGTCTTTTCATGTTACCCTCCTCTCTTGGTTTTACCTCCAAATCACTGCCTGGACCACATCAAATGCTCAGATATGTGTGGATTTTGTCAGGAAATCCTGTCAACTCTACCTTAAAAACATGTCTACTGGATGCCTACTTCTCACTCCTCCCCTACTGCTGACCTGGTCCCGGCCACCACCTTCCCTTGTCAGGACAATGGCAACAGCCTGCTTACTGCTCTCCCTACTTCGACCCCTGCTCCCCCCAGGCTATTCTGCATACCACAGTCACAGTGCTGCTTGCAAGACATGAGTGAGAGCACATCACCACCCCTGCTCACAACACTCCATGGCTCCCAGCTTCCTCAGGAAAGGATAACATCCTCACTAGGGTCCTCTGTTGTCTCTGTGACGTTACCTCCTCCCTCCCTCTCATCCACTTTAGGCTCTTTGCCGTTCCATGAACATGCCATGCAGGACTTGGCTTTTCTGATGGCTGTTCCCTTTGCTAGAAGGCTCTTTCCCCAGATGTCTTCATGGCTCGCTCCCTCCCTCCCTTCATGCTTCTGCACAGATGTCACCTCAGTAACTGGCTACCTATCTGAAAGTTTCACTTCTCAACGCTTCGCATCCACTTCTCAGTCTTCTTTATCATACTTTCCCCTACTGATTAAGCTTCATGAAGACAGGGTCTTTTTTGTCTGTTTTGCTCATCGCTGTGCTCCCAGAGTCTACATGGGGCCTGCCATCTGGTAGGCATCTGTGTAAACAGCTGAATGAATGAGATTTAACCTGGAAGACAGAACTCTGTTGTCGTGTGATAGAAGGAGCCCTGCATAGTGATCCTGTCCCAACATTAGCTCTTCAGGCTTCTGCCTTTGGCCTGATTCTCAGGGCTCTCCCATCTTCCCTTAAAAATACCAACAACCTATCTACTGAGGGCTTACTATGTGTCAGGTATTGTTTCAAGCACCTTAACTCATTGAGTCCTTACAACAGTCCTTTGAAGTGGGAAATGATATAATCCCCATTTTACAGATGAGGAAGTTGAGGCCAGGTGATTTCTGTAACATTTCTCAGCAAGCTCCTTGTAAGGTCAGATTTTGAACCAGTCTTCAAAGGCAGTTTGGCTCTGAAGTCCACACTTTTAACCCTTCTGCTATCTGTTTGGTAGCGCATCCAATATGCCAAGACTGATTCGGATATCATTGCCAAGATGAAGGGCACCTTTGTGGAGCGGGATCGCAAGCGGGAGAAGAGGAAGCCTAAGAGTCAGGAGACCCCAGCTGCCAAGAAGGCTGTGCAGGGTGGGGCAGCCGCCCCCGTGGTGGGGGCCGTCCAGGGTCCTGTCCCGGTAAGCCAAGGCCCAGAGATGCAACCCTCTCACAACCAGGCCTTCTTCAGCCACGTGACCTGGCTTGCAGGCAGGGCGAGGAGAGTTCTCTTGTTGGGAATTCAGACCCCTCCTGTTTCCTTACAGAGATTTTGTGTCTGTCTCTCGTCTCTCTTGGCGGGGGCGTGGAGGGGGGCGCAGGTTGAGCACCTGGGTGATGGTATCTCCACTTGAAATGCCTGTTCCCTGTCTGCATGTGTCTCAAGGTATTTCTTTCTCCATGTCTGTCTCATGGTTTCTCTCTCTTCTTAACCTTGATTTTCCTATCTGTGTCTTTTAAGTCAATGTCTATATAGAAAATCCAGGAGAATCTACCAACTAATTCTTAGGATTAATAAGTGAATTTAATTTAGAAAGGTCACTGGATATAAGATTAATATGAAAAAAAAAATCAATTTTTTTCTATATGTTAGTAACAAACAAGTAGACTTGACATTGAGTATATCCAACAAAAGGTGTGCAAAATTGCTACCCTGAAACTATAGACATTGCTGGGAGAAATTGGAGACCCCAGCAGTAGATGGGAAGACCCAGTATTGTGTTATGAGGTCATTTCTCTTCAAATTGTTCTAAGATTCAGCATGATTGCGATCAAAATGTTAACAGGAATTTTGGTAGACACTGACTGGCTCTTTCTAAATGCCTGGAAAGGCAAGGCCAAGGCAGAGGGGAAGAATAAATAAAGCTGAGGCACCTGCATGACTACGGGTGAAGATTTGTTCTTTTCTTTTTTTAATTTTTTTTTTTTTAAAGATGACTGGTAAGGGGATCTTAACCCTTGACTTGTGTTGTCAGCACCACACTCTCCAAAGTGAGCCACGGGCCAGCCTGAAGACTTGTTCTAAAGCTCCAGCAATCAGGGTGATGTGCTGTTGGCATAAGAGTAGGAAGATGGACCAATGGGGCAGAATAAAGAGTCTAGAAACACCCTCACACATATGCCACCACAGCAGTTCAGTGGGGAAAGGACTTTTTTCCCCTAGTTAATGGTGCTGGGCAGTTGGATATCTGTAAGGGAAAAAATTAACCTTACCTCAAATTATATGTGAAAATTAACTTGAGATGAATCATAGACCTGAATGTGGCAACTAACACAATAAGAAAACAGGAAAATATCTTTATCTTTTTTTTTTAAAGATGGCTGGTAAGGGGATCTTAACCCTAGACTTGGTGTTGCCAACACCACGCTCAGCCATTGAGCGAACCGGCCATTCGTATATAGGATCCGAACCCGTGGCCTTGGTGTTAAAAGCACCGCACTCTCCCGAGTGAGCCACAGGCCAGCCCAATATCTTTATCTTAACACAAAAAATGCTAAGTACAAAAGAAAAGATGGATGAGTTGGACTCACTCCTTAGGTCTCTGAGTCTCCATGTCTCTCTCTGGCTCTCGTGAGTCCCTCAGTCCCATGGCTCTCTGCCTGGGTTATGCTCTATTTGATGCTAACTCTCACTTTCTCTCAAGTTGGCGATGGTGTCTGGGCTGCTGTTGGGCTTCTCTGTTGTTACCACTCTCCTTCCCACATCCACCTTTCTGTCCACATTTGACTCTTCAGGTTGAGATCCCTGTGTGTGCTGTGGGCCATGGGGCTGTCTTCCCTCTTCCCCTCACCACCACCCATTTCTTTCTGCACCTGGCCTGACCCTCCCTTTTCATTTCTGCCTTCCACTGTCTTTTTTCTCACTAGGTGTCTGGGTCTGTTTCTTTGATTTTTTTTTTTTTTTCCCTTAGAGTTTACTTTTAGAAGCAAACATACAGCATGCTTATTACAGTATATAATTCCACCCCTTTGAATGAACAGTTGCTAATATTTTGCTTTTTTCCTTCAGTCTTTTTTTTATGCATACATCTGTAAAGAAAGTTGGGTCACACTATAATTTCTATATCTTATTATTATTATTATTTTATTCTTTTTGACTTAATGTCCCTCTTGACCCTGGGTCTGTTTTGCTCCATTTGGCTTTATTTGGGTACCTTTTTCGCTTCTTTACAAGTCTGGGTCTTTCTCCTGGTGTCTCTCCCCCTGGGTTTTCTCTAATGGCCTTTTCTCCTCTGCCTCCTGTGGACACCATAAGGATGACTTTTCCCACCTGCCGACGGCTCAGTCCTGCTCTCCTTTCTCCACAGGGCATGCCACCAATGACTCAGGCACCCCGAATCATGCACCACATGCCGGGCCAGCCTCCCTATATGCCACCCCCTGGCATGATCCCACCGCCAGGCCTAGCACCTGGCCAAATCCCACCGGGGGCCATGCCCCCGCAGCAGCTTATGCCAGGGCAGATGCCACCTGCCCAGCCTGTAAGTGTCTAGTCCCCTTGAGGTATCATATAAATAGAATACAGGAATAGGACGGAACTGATGGGGGTGGCTATTTTAGATTGAGTGGTCTGGGCAAGCCCCCCTGAGGAGGTGCTATTAGAGCAGAACTTCCTGAATGGTGAAGATGTAGCAGTGGGGTCAGGCCCTGGGGTGAAGAAGAATTGGCATGTGTGTTGCAGGTTTGGAAGGTTAGGGTGAGGCTGGACCAGTCGCCAGCATCTGGATGCATTCTGTAAACTTGTGGTGAGCACCTGCTTATGTACCAGGCCCTGTTCACCACTCTAGGGATACAGCAGTGACCAAAACAAAAATCTCTTCTGTCTTTGGGGCCTTCAGTATTTTGGGGCACAGGGCGGCAGGTAACAGGCAACAGCATACGGGGTGTCAGGTAAAAGTGCTAGAAAGAATACAAGCCAGGGGAGGGATCCTCTACTAGACTCAGGGCCCCTGTGCTCATTGGCTCCCCTCCTTCCCCGGCAGCTTTCTGAGAATCCACCGAATCACATCTTGTTCCTCACCAATCTGCCAGAGGAGACCAACGAGCTCATGCTGTCCATGCTGTTCAACCAGTAAGTGGGGCCTGTGGCTGGGCAGGGGAAAGGTGGTGATGGCCAGGAAGTGTCACCACAAGAAAGGACTTCAGAATTCTTTGCAGGAGGGACAGCGACCAAAGGTGCCAAAGCAGGATGCTGGAGCTGGACCCAAAGCTTGTGGGGGATACAGTGGTGATGAGGCTGAAGGGGTCATTCTGGCCAGGGCATGCTGGCCTTTAGGGGGAGCTGGGGGGGTGTCTAGGCTCTGGGCCTCATTTTCCCAGTCTCTAAAATGGAGACATACAATGCAAGGTATATGTGAAACAACAGTGAGACACCATTGGGTACTGGCTAGACTGGCAAAAGTCAGCAGGCTTAGATGTAGCATGTGTGGGAGTGGGGATGTATGAACCTTGTGCCCTGCTGACAGGGTGGAGACCTGTGCAGCCTTTGTGTAGAGAAACTGTTCACTGTTTAATAATGTTAGGGGTGTGGGTGAGTCACCTGGTGAACTGGATCTGCTTCTGATTATCTGTCCTATAGACATTCTTGACGTGAGTCTCAAGGAGCTGTGAATGGAGTATTCCTCACAGTGTTGGTGGTGGGGAGTTGGGGTAAACCTGGGAGAAGGGGTGGGTTAAATACTGATGCTTACTATGGTGTACTGTGTGGCCGTTAGAAGGAACAGAAGGAGCAACATGGATGGTTCTATTACATAGTGTGGAGAGGAAATTTTGAGAAACTGAATATAATAGAAAAAAATGCCACATGTATACTATGTCAACAAAACTACGTATTTTACAAGAATACTGATGGAAAAAAGGATACCCAGTAAACATGAGGATGATTGCCTAATGGAGAAGGAAGTAAGGAATGAGAAGAGGGAAATTAAAGAAACAGCATGTCTTAAGAGTAAGAATAGTGATTATTTCTGGAGCAGGGGATTGGTTACGATTGGGGAAGGACACAGAGGCTCTGCAGTGTTCTGTTTCTTGGTCTTGGTTGTGGTTGCATGGATGTTCATGTTAAAATTTTTCATTAAATGATGTGTTTACATTAGAATTTTTCAACTTCATTTGTTATGGGGGACTGTTCTGTGCATTGTAAGATGTTTAACATCACCCACTGCCAAAATGCTAGGAGGAAATGCTGAGTCTGGGTATCTGAGGTTTGTTGTTCCCTTCTCTCAGGTTCCCTGGCTTCAAGGAGGTTCGTCTGGTCCCAGGGCGGCACGACATCGCATTTGTGGAGTTTGACAATGAAGTGCAGGCAGGGGCTGCTCGGGATGCCCTGCAGGGCTTTAAGATCACCCAGAATAACGCCATGAAGATCTCCTTTGCCAAGAAGTAGTTCCTTTTCCTCATGCCTGTCCCTGCCCCCATTCTGGGGACACCCCTATTCCCCTTGGCTCAGTCCCCTGAAGGTAAGTCCCCCTTCGGGGCCTTCTTGGAGCCGTGTGAGTGAGTGGTCGCCACACAGCATTGTACCCAGAGTCTGTCCCCAGACATTGCACCTGGCGCTGTTAGGCCGGAATTAAAATGGTTTTTCAAGGTTTGGTTTTTCACAACTGTTTGTCTGTTTTATTTTCTTGCCCTCCATGCTTCTTGTCTCTCCACATTAGCACATCCTGGGTTTTGGACCTCTTGGCATTTTGCAACCTTGGAAAAACACAGAAGGTTATAGTAATATTGTCCAAACTTAAGTTACGTTTATTGCTTTGGTAGTTTTCTGTTTTGTCCCAATAAGCATTCAGGGCAGGAAATGGAAACCCAGGGCTGCCATGGACAGTTAGGCAGGTTGTATACTGCACAAGGATGCCTCTTTTAAGAACACACCCCCATTTACTTTGTTGACTTGGATGTTTATTTCAACAATTTTCTAACAGGTGATAGACCATTAAGGAAGAAGGGTTTCTTCACCTTTTGCTAATCTGCACAAAAGTGCTGTCCTGCTGTAGTAACAGTTCCACAGACCACTGTAGGTACTTCAGGCAGAAAGAGATTTAATACAGGGAACTGGGTGCTCCTGAAATCATTGGAAGTATGGTAGGAATGGCAGTCTGGGTTTTAGACACTTGAATTCAAGTTTGCAGCCCCTCTGGTCTAGAGTTCAGGAAGATGGCACTGTTGCTTCTGGGAGTGCCCAAACTGACTTGATCACACATGGGAAGCTGTTGATCAGATGCTGGTACTATGGGTTTGGCCATCTCACAGCTGATCTGCTTTGGTGGCCAGCTGCCAGCCAGGAGCCTTGGGCAGGTGGCTGACCTAAGTTCCCCTACTGAGCCCTAGCTGCAAGAGAGTCTAGGAAATGTAGTTTCTGGCTGGGCAGCCATGTACCCAGCTGATGCTATGGATAAGGAGATTGCATAGGAGGGACCCTTCTTAGCAGTTTGTCATATTCTTGTCCTAGCAAATTTTAAATTGACTCAAAAAATATATATATTACTTAAGACCTTTTCTCATACCATGAAAATGGAAATGAGATCATTTGGCAGGAGTAGAAAATTCACCCGTGAAAATAAATATAAGATACGAGTACTAAATTGTATCCGGATATTATTTCTTACCAAGGCTCTTGGCCCAATCCTGTACCTGCTCTGTTCTCTCCATTAAAGAAGAACATCAGTATTAGAAGTGATGAAGACACAGAGCACCTAGTGCAGACTTTCTCCATGTATGGTCTGAAAGATTGGAAAGAAAGAGATTGCCATCTTCATTAAGTGCCGTAGTGTTATTGCAGACAGGCAAGTGGAAATGTGTAGCCCACCACGTTGGCAACCACAGGCCTAGTGGCTCAGTACGTTGGGTTCTGTAGTTGGCTGATCCTGCTTTCTACTGTTTGGGGACTCCCTAGCTTTTACTCCATGGGCAGTTGATGTCCCCACTCTCAGCTTCATTTTCTTCCTATTCAATTTCTATGATATCATGATAATGTTTGTACTCACTACTCCCCTCCCCAACATGCGTGCACATGACCAGGCATTTAGCAAGCACTCAATAAATTCAGCAAATATTGGCTGAGTTCCTATTATGTGCTAAATACTGTTCTAGGAATAGAGAATGCCACGATGAATAAAATGGACAAGCTAATTTCAAATATTGTGTTCTAATGGAAACAAAACGGTGATGTAAGGGGGGTGGTGGGGCTGTGAACAGTAATGGGTGATCAAGAAAAGCCCCTATGTGCATAGTGCTTGGTGCTGGGCATTGGGTTTGTAGAGGTGACTCAGGCCCAGTCTTCACCCCTGACAAACTCCTCCCTGACCCCAAGTGTGTGTGTCCAACCTCTTTCCCTGAAAAAAAAGGTTGGACTTACCAGTCCAGAGGTAAGGATGAAGGAGAGATGTGGATGCTCTGGAGAATGGTCCTTGACATGTGAATCAGAGATTGAAGCACAGTTTGAAGGTGAGACATGAGTTCCAAATTCTCTGCCACTTCCTCATTCTGACCTTGGGCAAGTGGCTGAACTCTTCTACCCTATTTTCCCTCAGCAATAGGTGCAGTATTGCAGAGGGTGGTCAGTGGAGTCTGGAGCTGAGGTGATCCTTGGGCTGAGCCCTAAATGGGCTAGAGCAGCCAGCCATGTGAAGATCTGGGGGAAGTGCAGAGGTCCTGGGGTGGGAGTGAGCTCTGTGTGAGGACTAGGAGGAAAGAAAAACTCCAGGGGGTGCCATTTGCATTGTATTTAATAGAATTGTGCTCAGTGGCCCACTTCAAATGAACACAAAAATGATGGGATATCACTTCCAAGATAAAATTACAAAGGCCAACTTCCATCTTGCTTCCTTTGGGGGAAGCCAGCTGCCGTATTGTGAGTTGTCCGTGAGAGATGCATGTGGCAAAGAACTGAGGGAAGCCTCTAGCCAATAGCCAACAAGGACAGAGGCCCTTGGTCCAGTTTGCAAAAGCACTTGAATCCTTCCACCAACTGCCAGAGTGAACTTGGAAGTAGATCCTCCTTTAGTCCAGTATTCAGATGAAACTGCAGCCCTGGCTGACAGATTGATTACAGCTTTGTAGGAGACCTTGAGCCAGAAGCACCTAGCTAAGCCATGCCCAGATTTTAGACCCACAGAAACAGTGGGTTGGTTTAAATGTTGGTTTTAAGCTACTGTGTTTTGTGGTAATTATGAAGCAACAGATAAATACATTAGGCTTTGGGATATGAAGTCACTTCTACATCTTTGTGGCTTCATCAATAATATGGGGGAGGCTGGCCAGTAAGCTCACTGGGTTAGAGTGTGGTGCTGAAAACACCAAGGTCACTGGTTTGGATCCCTATGCTGGCCAGCCACCAAAAAACGGAGTATTGCTGTACATTGAATGTCCCCCCAAACTCACTGAGGCTTAATCCCTACTGCAGCTGTTGTGAATGGGAAAACCTACTGTGGTAATTGAAAGGTGGGGCCTTGAGGTGATTAGATTGTGAGGACCGTGCCCAAGTAAATGGATTTAATCCATTGATGGTTTAATGGTGGTCATGGGCGTGATTTTGAGGGCTTTAAAAGAAGAAATGAGTTGGCTCTCTGCTCTGCCATCTCACCATGTGACACCCTGCGTCGCTGTAGAATCACCTCACCAGATATGTTCCCTGGATTTGGACTTCTCAGCCTTCAAAACTGTAAGCAATAAATATTCTCTTTCTTTATGAGTTTACCCAGTTCCAGGTATTTTGTTATAAGCAACAGAGATGGACTGTCACAGGGAGCTACAGTCCCCATAGCTAATTATTGAGTGTGTTCTTTTTAAATATCCTAATACTTCACACGCTGTCTCATACACCTGGTAGTTGTTTACTGGTTAATTGTCTCCCCCACCAAGAGGACTTCAATTTTCATTCCATGATGAATCTCCAGGGCCTAGATCAGGGCCTAGCACACCATATATACTCGTGACATGTTTACTGAATGAAGGAATTATTATTTTTTTTCCTTTTGCGCCTGGCCTGTAAGGGGGCCCTAACCCTTGACCTTGGTGTTATAACACCATGCTCTAACCAAATGAGCTAACCAGCTAGCCCAGATGGAATAATTTTTGAAAACTTTTAAAATGGAAAAGTTTAAACATATGTGTAAAAGAAGACTGAATAGTATACTGAGCTCCCATATTTTCTTCCTAGTTTCACTTATTATCGACTTGTAGCCAAACTGAGTTTCAACCAAGCCTCTACTCACTTTTCCCCCTTCTCATATTATTCTGAAGCAAGTCTTAGACATCCTATCAGCTCAGAATAAAAACAACCACAGTGCCATAATCACATTTAAAAAGATAAGTTTTAAATATCACTACATCTGTTTAGTGGTCAGATTTTTAATATTTTTTTTCTTGTTTTGTTCTGTTTTGTGTTTTGGTGGCTGATTGGTATGGGGATCTGAACCTTGACCTTGGTGTTATCAACACTGTGCTGTAACATTTTTTCAATATTTTTATACATAAATCTATATACACTTTGAGTCAGAATCCTAATAAGATCCACACATTGTGACTAGTTACTGTGCCTCCTAAGTCTTTTTAAATCTAAACCACCCCTCAGTCTCATTTTCTTCCTTTTCTCTGGCAGTTTATTAGTTGGTCTTGTTGAGGCTCCCATGGTCTGGATTTGGCTGAGTGCATCCTTTTAAGGTCACTCTGCACTCCCTGCAAGTCCTTCGGATGTATTTAACTAACCTTTACAAAGAACCTTGTGAGGTAAGGTAGCATGGTGATGGGTGTTGGCCTAGAGACAAGTTTGAGCCCCTCCCCTTCCTGGCTCTGTAGGCTTAGACAAGTTCCTTAACTCTATACATTTCCATTCCTTTTTTTTTTTTTTTGGTGGCTGGGGTATACCCTTCCAGTTCTATATAAAATTATAAAATAGGCTTATGGGGCTGGCCAGTTAGCTCAGTTGGTTAGAGTGCCACCTTGTAACACCAAAGTCAAGGGTTCAGATCTCTGTACTTGGCTAGCTGCCAAAAAAAAAAAAAAAAAAAAACCATTATGGGCTGGCCAGTTGCCAGTTAGCTCAGTTGGTTAGGGCGTAGCTTTATAACACTGAGGTCATGGGTTCATATCCCTGTACAAGACAGCCTCCAAAAAAATAATAAAATGGGCTTATAATAGCCCATCCTGAGGTGATGCAAAATAGCCATTTAGTTAATAAAATAAAATAGAAATATACTTGGTTCAATCCCTGTAGTGGCCAGCCACCAGAAAAAAAAAGTGTGTGTGTATGTATATATATATATGTATCTGTGTATGTGTGTATATACATACTTGGTGATTGCTCTGTAACTATTCACTCTTATTTATCCCCATTTTACAGATGAGAAAGGTGAGGCTCTGAGAGGAGAACTAGCTTAGCCAAGGTCATCCAGTCAGAAAGTGAGCATGGAGGGACATTGCCTAGCCTAAGTTCCAACATACAATCTTCACTCAGTACTTGAGAACTGGGGCTCTTCCTGGCAATCAAAGGGCTGCCTTGTTCTCCTACCCCTCAGCACAGGAAATTCCAAGGTGGTTTCTCATCCTGGCTCCTCTGGTTTTATCCCTGGAGGGGAAGCAGAGGGGCCCAGGTACCTAAGCAGACTTGAGTAAAATGGGGTTGAATATCTCAGTCTGCCTTCTGGGCCTCTGATTGCTGAGGGGGTGGCTGTCACTTGGAGTGGTCTGGGCTGCTTTGGGCCTATCTGGGCATTTCCTTAGGCTGGCATCCCTCACCCTGTTCTTGAAATGGTTCTGGCTGGGTAGCAGCCTCTAGGTGGTTTAGGGCGGAGACAAGACCCAGAACACAAATTTCCTTGTGCCTCTGGTGAGAGGGAGGGCAAGAGAAAATCGGTGACCCCATTCCCCCCTTGGTCACTGTCTTGCTCACAGTCATGATGCCTTGGTCCCCTGTGTTTCTTGGGGTCATCATCTTGCTGTCTGCTTTCCCAGGGCCTAGTGTTGGGGGCCACCCCATGCCCAAGCTGGCTGACCGGAAGCTGTGTGCTGATAAGGAATGCAGCCGTAAGAATGGTGAGGGGGGAGTGGGGGGTTGAGTTGCAGGCCTGTGTTTGGGGTACTGTCATTCCCTTCTATTCCTTCTCCAGACCCCATCTCCGTGGCTGTGGCCCTTCAGGACTACATAGCCCCTGACTGCCGTTTCCTGACTATACATAGGGGCCAAGTCGTGTATATCTTCTCCAAGCTGAAGGGCCGCGGACGGCTCTTCTGGGGAGGCAGCGTAAGTTGGGAGAGCAAAACTGGGAAGGGTATGGGGCTGGGAAGGGAGTAAATTCATTTTCTAACTGTAGGGAAAATTTGAAGGGCTCAACTGAAGTAGAGACATAGTAGGGAGGGGAATATTGTGACCTTTTTTACTTTATTTGGTGATTACAGGGACCCATTATGGTACCAAATTCTTTTAAGGACACTGAAGATACAGAAGCGAACGATCCCTTTTATTCTAATGGAGGGAGACAAGTAATAAGCAAACTATCAGAAATATCAGCAAATACGTGCTGCTGTGAGCACAATATAGAGTAACTGGGTGGCTACTTTATATCAGGTGATCGGGAAGGGACTCTGAGAAGGTGACATTTAAGCTGAGATTCAAATGACAGGGATGGTGCCAGACGTGGAGATCAGGGAGAAGAGTAGTGCAAAGGTCTTCAGGAATGAGCTTGCCATCTTCGCAGACCCCAGCTTTTTGTTGTTTTTTGTACAGGGAACTGAACCCTTGACCTTGTTACCAGACTCCAGCTTTTAACTCTTCTTCCCCAGATTCAGGGAGATTACTATGGAGACCTGGCTGCCCGCCTGGGCTATTTTCCCAGTAGCATTGTTCGAGAGGACCAGACCCTGAAACCTGGCAAAATTAATGTGAAGACAGATGTGAGTGTCCTGAGGGCTCACAGGGATCTGGAGGGAGGACCTTTGGTCGCGAAGATGGGCAAAGATGCTCCTGCCCGTGGCTCCCCAGCAGCCTAGCAGTGTGCACTGGAACAAATTCTTTTCCTGCCTCAATATTCTCACCTTTAAATGGGGAGTGATTTCTACACCCCGGTCCAGTTGGGAGGTGCAAAGATTAGAGGGCGCTAGGTTAATCTCCATAGCACTTGTGTGTCTAAACTTGGCCCCTGCAGCTACAGCCTTTGCTAAAACCACTAGATCCTTTGTGGTGTGACCGCTAGTTTTCTCTCCACTGTTTCCCCTTTCTCTTTTTCAGAAGTGGGATTTCTACTGCCAGTGAGCTCAGCCTACCGCTGTCCTTAATGTTTTCCTTCCCAAGCTTTATGCAAATACATCAGCCGAGTGCAAAGTGCCTGTCTCTGTGGTCTTTTGGGTGGGGTGGGGGATGTGCAAAGGAAATGTTTCTCTAGTTCCTGAATCTAGCCCGTCAACCCAGTGAATGTGGTAACGTCAGAGGTTGCCAGGCAGAGTGTCACTGATGAAAGCCCTTTGCTCCTAGCTGGGTACCGGAGGCGGGCTCCTCAGCATAGATCTGGGACACAAGCAGTGAAAAAGAATAACCCAAACAGCCCAACTGGGGCGTTCGAGTGTCCGCTCCAGACCAATGGTGGGAGTTGAACTATCGGGAATGAGCCAATCGAACCATGAGGAGGATATAAATCGCAGAGCAGAGGTTTTCTTGGAAGATTATCTTCAAAGCCCAATTTTCCTCCTTCCTGCCTTTGAGGCCAGAAGTCGCTCCGTCCGGCTCAAGATCGGCTCCACTTCCAGGCTCCTTCTGTCAATCCTGCCCCTGCCCTTTCTTTGCATTTGTGTCTCCGCCCCCAAGTCCGCTCTTATCCAGTGCGGAGTCTAGGCTTTGCCCACGGACCTCTGACCAAATCCGTTCCTCGGCTCCGCGAAGCATCTCGGGCCCGCCCCTTCCCACTGGCTCCGCCAATCGCTCTCTTTGGCTACGCCCCTTTGCCTCCTCTCCTCATGCCACCAGTCAGCGCCTTTTTGCTCCGCCCCCTGCTCGCCGCGTCCGCCAATCCCACCCTTTGAAGAGCGTGGCCTGGTATCCCACAGCCCTAGCGGGTCGCGCCGGAGGAGGGGTGGAGGCGGAAGCGGCGGCGCTGGGCGCCGGGAGTAGGAAGGAGCCGGGGCTGCAGCCGTAGTGGAGCGGCTGCCAGCCGAGGAGCAGGCGCGGCCGCGGCGCCATATTGCGGCCCTCAGTGGCCGCGACCGAGTCATGGCCGAGACCTACGGTGAGGGTGGTGGGCCGAAGCTAGGGGCTGGGGTCTGGGCCCAGAGAGGATGCGGCCTGTGGAATGGGGCGGGGCTTGACGTTAGGGGGCGGGGTCTGATGTTATGGGGGCAGGGCCTAAGTGGATGCTGGGAGGGGCTTAATGGGTCCGGGGCTGAGCTTAATCTATTTGGGTGGAGCCTGAAGGTCTGGTGAGTGGGTTAAAGAGTTCTTGGGCGGGATTTGAGGCCGCCGGTCATGATTTGTGCGTAGGCCTTGAGAGAAGAGGTGGGCCTTCAAGTATTGGGGCGGAGCTTGAGTGAATGGGGCAGGGCTAACTTGTGAATGGCAGGGGTCGGGCTTTACTGACTAGAGGGAACCCTGAAGGGATGTCCTGGACTCTGGGTCTGATCTGGTGTGAGAGAATGGGGTTGGGGATGGGTTGTCCTTGAGTTAGGGGTGAGACTTAGTGGCAAGGGTGGGGCTTAAGCTTGAGAATAGGGGGCAAGGTCCTGGGCAGAGGGTGGGAAGGAGAGGTTTGGAAATGGAAAATCTGTATTTATGTACAAGGGGGGAGGGGTGACAGGGTGCGGTAGAAAACTCTGGTTTAGGAGTCAGAGGGAGCTGCATTCATTCAACAAATATAGAAAAGCAGAGGGAACAAGAGCAAAGACCCTGTAATGGGAACCAGCTTGTCATTTTTCAGGGAATAGACTGAAGACCAGGGGCCATAGTGCAGTGAATGAGTCAAAGGGAGGAGGTGAAGTTAAGAGTGGCAAGGACTAGATTGTAGTCCTTGATTAAATGGCTTTGAAGAGGCTTTAGCAATGATTTTGGACTCGAACCTTTTAGCCCGTGTTCCAATCCCAGCTCTGCCTACCTGTGTGACCAAGTCAGTTAACCTCTCTGGCCTTAGTTTACTTAGAAAATGGTGCTAATTTCTAGTATGCCTCCTCTGCAGAGTTTTCCTGAGGATTAAGTGAGCTGTTGATGTTAAGTAAAGACCTTTAGAACTGTTCCTAGCACATGGTAAACACTATGTAAGAGTTTTCCGTTACTGTTGTCTGTTGCTCAGTTTCTGCCTGTGTGTGTTTCTCTCGCTCTGTGACTTTCTCTTAGTTTTCATCTTTTTCCTTGTATCTTTCTCTCCCTGTGGGTATCCCTGATTTTGGCTCCATCTGCTCAGACTTCCTCTTCAAATTCCTGGTGATCGGCAGTGCAGGAACTGGCAAATCATGTCTCCTTCATCAATTCATTGAGAATAAGTGTGAGTTTCTGTCAGTGGTCCCGGGAGCATTGATCTGTGGGTATGGGCATGGTGTGGGCAGCTGGTGGGATGGGCAGGGATGTCCATAGGTATAACTCCAGTGCTTGCTGCTTGGTCCTTGTCTTGGTGTATGCCCTTTGTAGGTTCTCCTTGACCTCAGTCAGTCCAGCAGTAAGAATGGGTTTGTAGAGACTGAGGAGGCCTTGGAGATGGGGGATCTTCTGAGCCCCTATACTGACTCCTCTCTCCTCCCCTACTCCCAGTCAAACAGGACTCCAACCACACGATTGGTGTGGAGTTTGGATCCCGGGTGGTCAACGTGGGTGGGAAGACTGTGAAGCTACAGATTTGGGACACTGCCGGCCAGGAGCGGTTTCGGTAGGTGGGCTGGGCTCCCAAGAGGTGGGGGGAGAGAGATAGATGTGTGTGCAGAGTCACTCAGACACAACAATAGGAGTCAGGAGACGAGAGGACAGACAAGGCAGAGGGAGAGAGATAGAAAGATACCATGTTAGCAGGTACATATAGCCAAGGAGAGAGGGAGTCCTGGAGAGGGAGAAAAACAGACAGTGAAAGGAAAAGAGATACAGAAAGGGAGGCTTGAGGGTGGAAACAAGGGGTAGAAATTCAGAGAGACACATTTAGAAAAAGAAAGAGAGAGACAGAGACTGAGAGCAAAGAAGAAAATGATAAAGGATACCTCCAGAAATAGAGGCAGAGAGAGACAGGGAGAGTTGAACAGGTGTAGCCGGAAAGATAGACAAATGGATGTGTTGTGAGAAAGAGAAATGTGTAGGGCTCAGTACACAATAGGTCTTCAGGAAACATCTGCAGAAAAGTTGATAGACACATAGGAACACTGTGAGAGAGTCTGAGATACAGAGACAGAGTGTGAAACAGGGAATTCAGTCCATGGAGAAGTGTGGTCTCTGAGCAGCACTTAGTAGCTTCTTTTTTTTTTTTTTTTTTAAAGATGACCGGTAAGGGGATCTTAACCCTTGACTTGGTGTTA